AAAAAAACCATAGTATACATAGTGTTTAGATGAGGGGACTACCGTGACGCTCCAAGAAACTGGATGCTAATTCCCGTCCGTGTGACCCTAAACCCGAATTAACCACTTCCTGTATCCGCCTCCCACTGAGAAGGCACCTCCGTGTACAGCTGGACTAACCACAGGCCACTCGTGAAATGTCTCGGGTCATTTTCCCATCCTGGCCTCTCTTTTGGAGGAGACTGACTTTTCCTTTTCAGGCTCTAACCTCTGGCACCCTTTCTCAAGATGTGAGTGGATTGCAAACATACCTTGACCTGGTCTTTGTATTTTTAAACTTTCATCTCTAACTGGGAGAGGAGAGGCAGAAATTTCAGCTATCTGCCAGAGATAGAGACCTTGGGGAGGGCTGGGCCCAGAGAGCCTCAGAAATGGAACACTCGTTTCACTTATCCTTTAGGTAAACCAGCTTTAATCCTCTTGGGGTCTGCAGACACCCGGAGAGATCTCCTGCCTCCTCACGCCCTGGTTCTAGGTAGGGTGATGGGTGTGTAGGGGCACTGCTGGGGCTTAAGGCCTGGTCCTAAGTTTCTTAAGAATGCTAATGGTGCCAGGTTAGCTTCCCACCTTCCACCCCTAACCCCCTGGCCCACCCAGACCCCTCACAGACTCTCCATCCAGGCCAATGGGCCAATGCCCTCCCCACACTGGGAGTCCTCTGACCAAGTGACAGAAGGCTGTGCTGGATGTAGCCCATGTCTACCTGCTCACAGAGCCATGTTCAACTCTCAGGATCTGTGAGAGCTGGTTTTAAATGCAGTCATTATTAAAAGTGAAATGATATAAAATTATAGGTGAATAAAATATACATTAAAAATAAAGGCAATAAATATTACTTCCCACTTTCTGATTACATAATACATCTTATAATTTTCTAGGCTCCTGAGGTTACTCATGTCTCGTATAGCCGCGTGGTGGAAATAGTGTAACATGACGTGCATCTGAGCATCGCTTTCCAACTCTGCATCTGGGGGCCTCACGCTGAACTTCACATTGGCCATGGGAGTATTTACGCCACACAAGTCAGCAAATGCTGCACTGAGAAAACTGCAGGCCAGGGCAGAGTTTTCAGACAGCTATTGTTAAATGTGCATCAGCCCACCACGACCTAGCGGTACATTTTACATTTTCAGATACTTTTGATACATTTTAAGTTATCAATTTTGTGTTTGTACTCCACTTGACTTTTTCTAACATTCAATAATACATCTATATTTCTCTTATATCTACCCAGGTAGGAGAATCTCCAGCAAGGAAGGGCAATGGTGGGCCTCCATCTTTCTGTTAGTCAAGGCCTCCCTCCAGCTTCAGCTCTAATCGAAGGGCAAAGCCAGGGGAAGGGGAGGAGCTCCTCGGCACCCCCACCCCCTCCCCAGAGCCAAGCTGCAGCACTGTGAGCTGGCTGCTAGGCAGTGGGATGGACCACTGTCCCTCAGAATCTAAACTGCCATGCTGATGCTGGCTGCGTTTAGGATCGAGGTCTCCCACTGGCCTCGTAGGAATCACCTGGGGAAGTCACATTCTGTAGATGGAGGCTTGGGACCCTGAGGTCTGAAGTTCAGAAAGCTCGAGGGGAATGTTCCTGGGAAATACAGGACCAGTTAAGAGTACTTTCTGGATTCAAACATCTGCTCTGGCAGTTTCTGTCCATGTGACCTTGGGCCAATCACTTAAATTCAGAGAGCCTTGGGGTTTTTTATTTATAGAAGGGGAAAAAAATTAAAGCTACTTTATTTTCATTTTGGTTTTTTATATTGTACTATCAAAAGTTGTTATAAGCTTTGACATTAGGAGAAAAGGTAAATCAATTATTACACGTGTTTATACTGTACTAAAATACTTTAAAAAATATATATACTTCCATTTACTTGTTAGGTGTTATCACTAACACAATGACCCTGAAAATTGCTGAAATTCCCTGAAATTCACCTTGTTTTACAACCGAGGAATCTGAAATTTAGAGATCAGTGACTTGTGCTAGACACTAAGATAATACAGAGTGAAAATTTGGCCCCAGCTCTCCCAGTGCACTCATGACAACCAAGATTCGTGAGGGCAGCCTGGGGCACAGGCCTCCAAAGGGGGCATAAAGAGACACATCCTCTTAGCTCTAGTTAATCAAAGATGGACAAGCTCCTGATGCATCTCGAGGGTCCCAGAAGCCCCATCTTGAGTGCACAGGTTAGAGCTTTAACTGCCCCCAGAAAAACACACCAAGAGTTCCGACTTTTAAAAAACTTAAATCTGATTGCAAAACAATTCATGTCCAATAAAAACATTCTGGAAAATAAAGACAATAACATGTATCCCCACTCAGATCAGAGATAACATACTGTTTACCTTTTAGTGGACAGCATTTTGATTTTCTCTGTAATGCACGGAAATTCAGATTTTGTGATCTTTACCTCTGGTGACTGCTTCTAAAGTCAGCTTTACAAGTGAAAGGCAAAGAATAACCACCACATCATTTTAAAGGCATTTTGCTCACTCATCCGTTCAATACATATTTGAGTGTTTTATTATGTGCCAGTCATAATTTCAGATGCTGGGAAACAGCAGGGGACAAGGTCATGACCTTCAGGGGACTTATAACTTGGGGACAGAGAGAGATACTGGACAACTAAACACAGGTGAGACTACACTTGTGACAACTTCCTCCCCTGAAGTAAATGCACAAGGTGGAGAAAGCAAAGAGGTGCGAGAGAAGCTGTGGAGTGGACCTTCCTTATGTGAGAGAGGGTCTTCCTGTGAATGTGCCTCTCACAGAAAGACAATGCTGTGGATTGTAGCAACCTGGTGTAGGTCAAAGGTCGCTGTGTAGGAGTAGCTGTCATTGGACTCCAGGCTGCAGTTTTGTTATTAGTTGATGTGGGTAGATTCTCAAAGTAAGCAAAGATCTTAGAAGTGATTTAATCCAACGCCTTCACTTTGTAAGTGATGAAAATGGTCAAGGGGTGACTTAGCCAGAGTCACTAGCAAATAACACACCCATGTCCAGGGGCTAGCTTTTTGACCCACAAATCTAACCTATCATTCCTGTAACATGCAGCTCCTTTTAGAGAAAAGTAGAATAAAGAAATGTTGCTCTGTGTAGTGCCCACTGTAAGCAAATATACCGCATTTGACCATGTATTATGTGCACCCATGTTTTTGGCCAAAACTTTCAGGAAAAAAAACTCTTAATTTTTTAATTTAATTAATTAATTAATTGTTTATATGTAGATATTTGGTTTTGGAATTATAAAGGGTTTTTAGCATTTATTTTTGAACATACAGATATCATTATTGCTTTCTAGAGTTACACTTTTTAATGAACAAGCATAAATAAAATAATTAAAAACATTTATATAGATATGGAATTAGCACTATCCATGTGTAATGTGCATTCTTATCTCTCCCTCAAAAATTTGGGCAAAAAAGTGCGCATTATACAAGGCAAAATATGGTAATCAGTTACCTAGATACAACTACACTGTAACTTTTTTCCTGATGCAAAGTCTGGAATGAAAAAGAACATGGCATTTGGTGTTACATAACATCCACATGCATTTTTCTTTTCGTTCTTCGTATCTTTCTTTCTTTTTTAGTTTTTCACCTTTTACTAGCTGTGTGCTTTGGAAAACCCACTCGATCTCTCTGGACATTAGTGTGTTTATAAAACCAGATTGCTTTGTAAAGATGGTTTTTATTCCAATGTTTAAATGAAGAAAATATTAAGTGAAACTTTGTAGAAACAAATAGCATATAAAGAGTGATAAAGTGCAATGTCTTTCAGTGCATGGGAACTGGAACAGGTCTTGGTGGAGGCTGGGTTTTTCTTTCAACTGACTAGGGCTCTAGTTAGTTACAGAAACCCTTAGTCTGTGCATCCAGAAACTTGGGTAACCAGTTCAGCAGGTCGAAGCTGTATCACTGTGGTTTTTCTCCTTAAGATACCAAACTTTCGGGTTTTCTCTAGTGGCTCTTTACACTTTATTTATTGCATCATAAGCTGTGTGGTAGTGGTTTCATTTTTACCATGTGAACTGGATTATTCCACTGCAAATCTCCCTGGGGTTCTTGGAAAAATATCTGAAATTGATAAGAAACAGGACATTTTCCAGGAAATACCCAACTAAGGAATTATTGAATACTTTGCATAGTTTGCAGAGGTTTTAGGGAGATCTTAACTGTCTCTCTAGAAAGGTCAATCTAAAGCTTATTTATGTGTTTCGGGGACTTTCATGGAGTGCTTATTTTTAGAACAACGGAACAGACAGTAACTACTTTTTAATGGGTTGGGCCTTCAGCTGTGAGGCTTTTAAAGCAGGCTTCTCTTTTCCCAACCCAGCTGTGTTGCCACACACCAAGCAGACGTGGTTTGACCTAGAGAGAAAACATGGGCTCCATCCCAAGGAGTGAGAGCATCCTTTCCCCAGGGGCCCCGAGTCCCTATCCCAGTGGGTTTCCTGTGCCGTCCACTCGTGGCCTGCAGCTGTACTGCCCACACAGAGACAGTCTCACTGTAGGTGGCTGCAGCAGCCTTTGCAGAAGGGAGGACGAGGGAGCTAGTGACAGATGGCTGGGACAGGGGACAGCAGCCCGCACTGGAAAGGACAAGACAGAGCAGTCTCACTTCCCTCTTGCCTCTTCAAAGGCTTTTTTCTACCTTCTTTTGTTTTCTTCCTTTCATTCTTTTTTTTTCAAAGAAGATATGAGTTAGCATTAAATGCAGTGAGAGTAGAAATGAGTATTTCTGTGCTGATGATTATGTGTCTGAGATCATGAGCTTGATGGGATCTCAATGCCTAAAACTCATCAATTAAAATATGAGATCATAATTAAAAATCACATATAAGTGAATTAATAAATGTAATCTCAATAAAAATTAGTATAAATGCATTTAGCAAACATAGCAAATATTTTATTATAACAAATATAGCAAAATAGCACTCATTGTTTCTCTATGAAGAAAAGTAATGAATGCTTACAATTGCTAGATTATGTGAGGTGTTTCATGGTGTACAACCTCTTCCGAAAGGTGTGGAATCCCATGGGGTGATACATCCATAGTGATGGTCTCCAGCAGTGGTTCTCAGGGTCAGCACACCTACCAACTTGTGAAAAAGGCAGATTCCCGAATCCCACACCTTGATAATCTAATTAATAAATACATCTGGCAGGATAATCCAGAACTCTCTATTTTCATTTAGCTTTCTCTGGTTTAAAATTTTTTTTAACATTCAATATTATTTTATAATAATTTCAGGTATCAGCATAGTGGCTAGAAAATTATTACAAAGTGTTTCCCTTGTAAGTCTAGCACCGACCTGGCACCACACACGGTTATCACAGTATCACTGACCACACTCCCTGTGCTGCAGTTTACATCCCCGTGACTACTCTCTAACTGCCAATTTATACTTCTTAATCACTTCATCTTTTTCGCCCCCTCTCCTATCTCTGGCAACCATCAGTGTCAGACGCTTCATATTTCAGTGAACTCACCAAATGCTTCTCATGACAGATCAGGGCCCTGGATCAACCTTCCCTAGCCTCCCTGCAAAAAGAGAAGCAGAGCTTAGTGTGAAATACACAAAGTTAAAGCTGATGTTCACACTTCAGAACATTTGCTTACAAGCATGTGTGCATGACTCTGAATCTGTCACTTCATTTTCCCCAAATAGCAACATTTGTGTAGAGAAAAATCACAGGGAAAAGAGTAAAGTTGTTAATGCTCGTTGTTTACATGGAGCATGTGAGTGAAGAAGACACTAAACTTTGAGTTAAGGGAACTTTGTAGCTCAGAGCTGTTTAATTCACTGAATCAGAGGTACCTCTGGTCCTAATAGAAACACTTTTCATGATTTAAGGCCTGTCCAAAAGCCATCTGTTTTCTGAGATGCCTGAATCACTCTTTTAAAGGATGCTTTGTAGGTTTTTTGAAAAAAAAATGTTTAAAATATTACATGTTCCTGAGGGGGTGGAGAGAGAGAGAGAGAGAGACTTGGACTGTTGGTCACTCTGATTCCTGTTGTACCTTCATTCACAGCCTTTTTATTCTTTAAAACTTTGGAAAATTATTTAATTTCCATGTACCTCAGTTTCTTTATCCATAAAATGAGGGGTGACAATAGCTTATTTTTATCAATTCTAAAATAAACATTCTCCCTTATTTTAATATCTCTGAAGTCAGCGTACACCTCACCATTTACAATGAAAAAGTATTGCGTCCTAGATTAATTGGCAGCATGTATTTAGTGGTGCATAAAATAATGGAGTGTCTTCTAATGATAATGTCTTAGATGAAGTGAAATATGATAATACCTATGTCCTAGGGTTTTGTGGGGGTTAACTGAGTTAAGAAACAAAATGCTTAGTGCTGTGACTGGCTAATATAAATCACTTAAGAAGCATATTACAGTTCTAATATGTGGGCGGATTATAAATTAACTAGGCCTTCCCTGTTGAACCTTAAGATGGTCTCCGATACTCTTATCATTATACACTGCACTGAACATCCTTGTGTGTGAAGCTTTATGTGCATCTCTAAATGGGATAGATTCCTAAAAGTGGAATTATTAGGTCAAAATCATGGACACATTGAGGGACGGATTTGTATATATATATAATCACAGTGACTGGAAAGTCAGTCACACTTGGGTTAGAATCACTACTTACTTACCCTGTAGTGTTGGCCATTTTACCTAAACTTTCTGCATTTCTGGTTTTGCATCTATAAAATGAGAATAATAATAACATCTACAGGCATATTGTAAGGTTTAAATAAGATGATACAGTCAGACACAATATCATACTGGCCCACAGTAAATTCAAAATCAATGTAAGTTGTTGTTGTTTTTTAATTAGGGCATATTGACCAGCACTGTCTTGCTGCCTCCTACTTTGGAAGCCATACTTTGCACTCTGTAAAACCACCAGTTTACAACAGTGACCCCGTGTGACAGTAATGGAAACAGCAGCAGCAGAAAATCTGTGGGTGTGTCATGGGGCTTGTTGACGAGACTGTCAGTCCATTTGACGGTAGAAGCCTGTGCCTCAGATTCTTGAACCATCTGAGATAGACAGACTCTCGAAATGGATAATGAACACTGCCCATCTGAATATGAGAGCGAGCCTCAGCAATTGCTTCAAATATTGACAGGTGATGATGTCTTTTAGGTCTCAGACATACATGAATTGGTAGAAGAATTCACCATCATTTCAATGGAAACAGCACAGGAATGATTTATCTGTTTGAAAAATAAAACCATGAGAAATCACTTTGACAATTTTACTTGTACCTTATAAATCCCAGCAAACTCTAGTACTGAATTTCAGTGAACAGTGGGATTGGCAGGCTGTTACCCAAGCTATAATTCATGAACGGCCTCCTGGCTTGGACTTCTGGAGAGGTTGGGAGGGCTCGTGTCTATAAATACAACCAGAAGTGATTATATAATGAGCACATTGAATATATTAAACTGGTGATTTATCAGATGATGGATTTACATATTTCATAAATTTTATTTCAGAGAACATCACACCAATCTTAATTCCATGGTTTCTATAACCTACTCATAAGGATTAAATAAAAGAAGATATGATTTTAATATAAGCTTTTACTTTATTAAATCTATGAATATCTAGAAGTATAGAGATTCGAGTAACAGTTGAAAAGTAATTTTGGTAGCAAAACCAATCAATAAAACCCCAAAGTTATGTATGTGAATGGTCAGTTTGAATTATAATAAATTTAGAATATGTATATGATTTAAAAGGCTTATATGATATTTAAAGGTATTTGACCACATTTAGGAATTTATATAAGAACTTCATTAACAAAGTTATATGCAAGATCCAAAATGGTACTTCCTCTTTCTCTCAGGATAAATACCTGGGACAAAATTAAAAGGGTACAAGAAAAGTGAAAGGAAAAAGTGACTTTCTCTGCCTTCCCTGATCATTAAACACTAAATTCATCTTCCGTGAAGCAAACTGTAGATCTGAAGGCATCTTACATTTTTTACTAATAGTCAGATTTTTATTTAATAGCTGTATAATATAGGAAAAGTCGTGACTTCATTTTTAGCAGCAGTTTGCATTTCTTTTACTTGAATGCCTTGGTAAGAGAAAAAAAGGGTAGAAGGGTAATTCTTTGTCAATAAAGTACATTTTCCAAATGTGTCAAATAACTTCCTTGAAAATTTTCCAAATATGAAAGTAACACATATTCAACATAGAACATTTATAGACAAAAATCATTAAAATAAACACATTTTACATTTGAATTAAGAAGTATTTTAAATCTTTAAAATACACTTTAGAATTATGTTTTAAAATCTTAAAAAATTCAAAGGTATAAAAGGTATAAATAATCCTCTTTCCACACTTGTCTTCCAGCATTTCAGTTTCACTTCCAGAATCAACCAAGACTATCAGTCTTTTGTGTGTCCTTCCAAACACAGTCGGCCTGCACACAGGCAAGTGCATTGTGTCTCTGTGTGTGTCTGTGTGTACAGTGTCCTACCCTTTGTCTGTTTGACTTAGCAATTTTAACAATATATCTTGAAGGTAGTTCCAGATCACTAAATAAAGGGCTTATTTGTTTAGGTTATTGTCTTTTGCTCTAATAAATCAGCTGCAAGATTGAGTGAGTATACCTATACAATAAATTTCTAGAAGTAGAATTGCTGGATCAAAGCATATATGCATTTGTAATTCTGACAAATATTGCCAAACTATCTGAAGGGCATTTTTAAAGGTTGTTCTTCAAGTAGTTCAAAGAAACTCAGACATGGTTTACATTTTAATTTTGATTACAAATCCTGATTCCATAAATAATAGAGTGGAAAGAAGCCCCTGGGTTTTGAGAAAAAGTGTCATGATCATAACATTCTAGCCAGAGGGCTGAGAGCAGACTATATTGAACATGGTAAAAAGAAGCAAACTAGTTACAAGGTTATAACAAAAATTTAAGCAAGCTGAATGCCACAATAGGTAAAAACAATCACACACCACGAACCAGTGAGGTTACTGCAGGAGTGCAAAGTTGGTTTAACACCAAAGATCAATTACTATAATATACCATATTAAAGGAATAAAAAAACTAAATTGTAAGATCATTTTGATAGATGGGAAAAAAAGCACAGCATTTGACAAAACACCCATTTGTGAAGAAAAAAAAAAGCTTAACAAACAAAAAGAGAAGGTAAATTCTTCAGTCAGATAAAGGGCATCTGAAAAACAGCCACAGCCACCATCCACTTCATGGTGAAAGACTGAATGCTTTTTCAGTGAGAACAGAAACACTTTAAGGATGTGCATTCTTACCTCTTATATTTTACATTGTATCAGAGGTGCTAACCTGGGTAATTTGGCAAGGGAATGAAATAAAAGCTGCAACATTGTAAAGAAAGAAGTAAAACTGTCTCTCTTTGCAGATGACATAATCTTCCATGTAGAAAAGTTTAAGGCAGCTACAAATAAAAACCTTATTAGAACTAATAAATGAATCAGTGAGAATACAAGATACAATGTTAATATATAGAAATCAATTATATTTCCTTAACTTTCAGTGAATTCAAAAAAATTGAGAAAAAATATTTATAATAGTGTCACAAAGCATAAAATACTTAGAAATAAATTAATTAAAAGTGTAAGGCTTAAACACTGAAAATTAGAAAATATTGTTGAAAGAAATTAAATAAGAAGTAAATAAATGGCAGCTCCTCCCGTTTCATGTTTTAGAAGATTTAATATTGTTATGATGACAATACTCCTGAAATTGATCTAAAGATTCAACACGATCTCTATCGAAATCCTAGCTGCCTTTTTGGCAGCAATTGACAAGTTCATCCTAAAATTCATATGAACATGTAGGTACCCTTAACAGCCAAAACAATTTTGAAAAAGAAAAAGGTGGAGCGCTCACACTTCTCAATTTTAAAACTTACTACAAAGTTACGGTAATTAAGACAGAATGTGGTACTGGCGTAAGAATATACAGAGATCAATGGCATGGAGTTGAGAATCCAGAAATAAACCCAGGAGTCTTATGATCAACTGACTCCAGTAAGTATGACAATACCACTTATTGAAGAAAGGAGAGTCTTTACAACAAACAGTGTGGGGGCAATTGGATATCCACACCCAAAATCATGAAGTTGTACCCCTACCTCATACCATACACAAAAATTAACTCAAAATGGATCAAAGACCTAAATGTAAGAAGCTAAAAATATAAAAATAGCTTAGAAAAAACCACAGGGGTAATCCTTTACAAACTTGAATTAGGCAATGTTTCTTAAATATGACACTAAAAGCATAAGCAATAAAATGAAAAATAGATAAATGGATTTCATCAAAATTTACTTTATGTTTCAAAGGGAACTGTCAAGAAAGGGAAATTAGTCCCTCAGAATGGGATAATATACTAGCAAATTACATACCTAATAAGGGGCTTATAACTAGACTATATAAAGGACTCTTCAAACAATAATAGACAATCTAATTTAAAAATATCTGGTCTGAATAAGCATTTCTCCAAGGAAAATATGCAAAAAGCCAATAATTACATGAAGAGAATGCAACATTCATCAGGAAAATGCAAATCAAAAGTGATATACCCATTAAGATGACTACTATTTTAAAAAAACAAAACAGGAAAGAACAATTATTGGCAAGAATGTGTAGAAATTGGAACCCTTGTACTCCACTAGCGAGAATGAAAATGTGCAGCTGCTTTGGAAAACAGCCTAGTAGTTCCTCAGAAGATTAAATAAAGAATAATTACATGACTCAGCACCTCTACCCAAGAGAAGTAAAAACATATGCTCACACGAAAACTTACTCATGAAAGTTCATAGGAGCATCAATTACTATACCAAAAAGATGTCAACAACTCACGTGTCCGTTAACTAATGACTAGATAACCACACGGGGCATCACCATTGTTTGAAACAAGCAACAGGCCCAAAGTTGACTTGCTTTTGCTAAGCCCCACGTCTCCAGATCAATTTAACTTCTTTACAGTTTTAGCTCTTTGGGGAACGGAATCAGACGTCACACGATCAGGTACGAAATCGGTTTAACAGAGCCCTGCCCTCGCGGAAGTGGTAACTCGGCAACAACCAATCCGCTTTTTTCGCCGGTGTGACGTCCTTGTTCACCATCCCCCCCCCCCCGCCCCCCTCCGCTGCCTGCTAGTCTTTCATTCTGTGCAGCTCCTTCAGTTCCTGTCTGTCTGCTAGATGGGAAACTTTTCGGCCCGAATTAATTTTTGCCAGAATAAACTCAACGTTTTTAATATGCCCCAGTTTGTCTTTGAACTTGATACGATGGAATATTATTTGACCGTAGAAAGGAATGAAGTATTGAAAGCTGATACACGGATGAACCTTGAAAGAAGCCAGTCACAAAAAAACAACATATTGCATGATTCTATTTATATAAAATGTCTAGAATGAAGAATGTCTAGAATGTCTATTCCACAGAGACAGAAAGCAGGCGAATGGTTACTGGAACCTTGGGGGAGTGTGGGATGGGGTGGGCGCGACAGCTGACGAGCACCAGGTTTCTTCGGGAGGCGACGCAATGTTCTAACAATGATTGTGGTGAATTTCGCACAACTTTGTGACTTATACCGCAAACAAAAACCATTGCGTGCATTCCTAAAGAGGTGAATTGTTTAGTATATGGGTTAAATCTTAACAAACTTGTGTACAAGAAGAAAGAAAAATAAACCCTGTACCAGACAACCTAGCTTTAACTGCCATCTCTGCCCCGAATGGCTATGTGACTTTAGAAATATTACTTAACTTGTGCGTGCCTTAAAGTCTGCATAAATAGAGACAATAATAGTTCCTCTCTCATAGGGCTGTTGTAAGGATTAAGAATCAACACAGGAAAGGACTTAGAACAGTGTTTGGTAAAGAAAAACTGCTGTCACTTATACTCAAAGTGTAAATTCCAAAGTCAGTAGTTTTCCCTCATGACCTTGCTCTGTTTCTTTTCACGACTTTATTTGAAAGAGAAGGTGGCATGGTCAATCTACTGGGTTCTTTTTTTTTTTTTTTTTACAGGACGGCGGGAGAGTGGAAACATAACAAGTCCGAAAGCTCAAGTGTCTTCATTCCGGACTTAATATCTTCTTTTATAAGCGAACGTCTTTCGCCTAGTTTGACCCTCTAGACTTCCCATTCTTTTTCTCCTCGGTGCGCATGCGCAGCAGCCGCGTGCCCTTTCGTCTTAGCGTTCCAGCTACTTTGACAATGGCTGCTGGCGGTGTGAGTTTGTTTGCCCGTTTACCCATCTGCGGTCAGCGAAGTCAAGTCCTGCGTCCAATCCACAGGCTTCTCAGTGGCCCAGGAACTGTGGCCGCAGACCCCAGGAGAGAAGAGCAGTCCTTGGGGATCGCGGAGACAGGTGACGGCGTCGTGTCCTCGGTTTGCTCTAAAACCCGGACCGTCCCAGGGTGAGGGAAGGGGGAAGAGACTGGGAGCGCGGGCCAACGCGTGGCCCGTGGAATCGGCCGCGGAACTTTTGACAATAGGGTGAGACTGCGTCCCAGCCTCCTCTAATGTCACTACGGGAACCTAGGGTCGCCCCTCATGGTCATGGTGGTGGGGTTCCTTTTTTGCGGACTCCTGTTCTCCGTAATGAAATTGTTTAAATCTGTGACGTTCAGGTCAAGAACACAATTTGCTAGCGTTTTACAATCTGGTTAAATAATGCTCCCAATAATAACATGGATGCCACATACCAGTCAGTTACTTCATCATTCACAAACGTGCTTGATTTTGATACAAGTTGCTGATGGAGGCCAAGTATAGTGAAATCTTGGTGAATAACCGGTGTTCCTGGTTCACAAATGTAGGTCTCTGCCTATAAAATTTGCTGCGGTTGAGTTTATACCTTTATCCGTTTTGAGCAAAATAAATCTGGTAACAGGCGTTCACTGGAACAGGCTATTGCCTTGCAATAGCAATAGTGTGCTTGTGTATTGAGAAGCCCCCTGTTATTGAACACCTCTTGTGATCCTAGGGCTGTGTACGTTATTTACAGCCCTTAAAACAATATAGCAAGAAATGTGTCAATGTCTCCATTTTACAGGTGTAGAAAGAGGCTCAAAGAGCTGAGTGACTTGTGCGTGGTGGTCACGGAGCTGAGTTAATTTAAACCTGAAGTGTGTTAAACAGAATATGTGTTAATTTTGACTGTTGCTTGGAGCTGTGGTTTTTAGATATGAAATTATATCTGGGAACAGTTCTAAAGTAGGCTGAACAAGCAAAATAAATGATAGGCTTGCTCTTGTCATCAGATTGCAGGAAAGACTCATTGACAGTCGTAAAGTCACTTAATATGACATTTCAGTGGAATAATGATTGGGTTGTATTTAGTTAGAAGCTACTTCTGTTAAAAATTCTTAATAAAAGTCTGAAAGTTCGACTAAGGATTCTGCCAAAGAAACCTTTTTTTTGTTTAAACAATTAGCTTTTAACAAAGAAACTATTATAATTTAGCATCTGTATGGTAGTTTATATTTTAGAGTATCTTCATGTGCTTTTTAAAGAATAGAATTCTGTAAAGTAGGTATGGAGGAAATTCTTATTGGCTCCTTTTGAAGATGAGGAACAGGCTAGACTGTGTGGCTAAATCAGACTTACCCAGCTGTTCAGTGGCCAAGGTAAAACCTGATTCCAAGTCTGTACTCACTTATTACAGCTTTGTTGTTTTTCTTAGGAAATGTGTCTCAGTTCATATCATTAGGATAATAAACCGACTATTCAGGGACTCTTGTAGGGCATAACAAGTAACAAAATCTTCATTTGAATTTCTTTTGTTTTAAAAAGAAAAGGTAACCACTTTATATTCACTTAGAAGCATGTAATTTTTTGATGGAAAGGAACCTGGGAAATACCCAATTCAGTTTTTCACTCTGGGAGAACTCATTGCCAAAACATCCTTAGTAACAAGGAGGATACCATTTCATAAGCCAGGCAATTTCATTTTTGGTAAGCATTAATGTTTGAAAAAATGTTTATAATGAGCTAAAATCTCCTTATTTCCCATTTCCATGTTACTCTTAGTTTTGACACAGCTTTCACGTGAGTAGTGGGAAGAACCCTGATATAAGAATAAGAATTATTCTGCACTCAGGAGTGCAGGTGACAGAAACTAACTCAAATTAGCTTCATTAGATAAGGGAGGAATACCATCCCAGGAAAGCAAGTAGCTGTCCAGAAAGACATGGAGCTGCTTTAGGACTGACTGAATGGGTGTGGTCAATGGGAGGTATTGCTGTTTTCCTCAGCTGTTGTTATTTTGGTGGCTTTATTGACTCAGATTCTTCAGTTTTGGAATGATGGTGGGGAGCATGGCTGCCAGAAACTCTATGTTCATGTGCTCTATCATAGCTTTCTTCAAAGGGAAAAAATCAAAATAATCTTTTACCTGAATTTGAAAAATTCTATGAAAGAGCTTTATGAGGATATTTTGGAATTTGCTGAAATCAAAGTACAGTTTGTTTCCAATCTGTTTGTTTCCTTTATTTACCAGTATTATAACAACTTTTAGAAGGAAATGAAACTAAAAGCCTCCATTGGTTTGCATGCAACAGTTACATTTTCTGTTTAATGTCTTTGGAATTTTGTTGAGGGTATTGGTACTGGATGGTTTATAATCCCTAAAATGTACCATTCCAGAGTTTTAGAAGAAGCACTGTTAAGCCACCCAACTATAAGTCAAATATGTTGGATAAAAAAATGAGTTCCCAAGGTTCAGTGTTTGGCTTTAACTTGAATGATTTTTCTTTCTCCTTATATTTGGTTCACTTGTTTATTATTCCTTTGTGGTCAGTGGGTAGTAGTAGTAAATTCTTGACTATCACAGCAGTTGTTGTCTTCATTTCCCGTGATTGTAAAATTCCTACCCCCTGGAGTGGTTTTTAGTGGGAAAAAAATTTACCCTGTATTTCTTTAGTAAAATTGTCATGTGCTCTTTACAAGCAGCAACTAGGTTTTAAATTTTTTTGATTTCCCTGAGCACGTTGGTAGTCGATGCCTTGAGCCCAATCAAGACCCTTGACAAAAAAACAACTGTAATAACTTCACTACATTAAATTTCTAACTTCATTGTCTCACTGCACTCAAGCTTGAAACAATTTCAGGCTATGGAATGTTACACTCACATAGATTATGTATGTATGTATTTGAGGAAATGTTAAATGAGTGACTTTACTGGTTTTGCTTTTAAAATTTTGTGGATCTCTTTTTACCACTATGCATTGAATATAGTAAATCAAAACAGAAAGTGGGCAGTTTTAATGATAGTCACAAGAGAATGATAAAATGAAAATTGAAGGAGTGTAGTAGCTTCGTCCTTAGGAGAGAAGAAGATGAGATTTGGATAAAGTTGTTTTAGTTGGACGTAAAACTTGTATATACCTCACAAAATATGCTTTAAGTTTTACACATGTGTGTGTGTTGGAAATGATTTTTATCTCATTCATAGGCTCTGAAGACAGGACTCCCAAAAAGAGATTCTCTGAGGTGCAAAAAGAAAGACGAGAACAGGCACAGCGGACTGTTCTAATACTTTGCCCAAATAAAATCAGTGAAAAAAAGTTTCTCAAGTATTTATCCCAACATGGACCTATTAATAATCATTTCTTCTTTGAAAGTTTTGTAAGTATTTGAAAAACAATATAACCTATTTTTAAAAATTTCTTGCCTCTGCAATATGGTAAAGTTACATTCTCTTTTGTTATTTTACATTTTTTTATCTAAATTTCTTTAATGAGTTTTCTTTATATGGAAATAAAAATACAGGAGGATTGCAGATTTATAAGCAATATATACTGAAGGATTTTATTACTTGAATACTTTAAATAATTCCATTATTTTAGGAATAAAGGCCAGTGGGAGGGATCTTTGTTTGCTGTTAAATTTCTGTTTCAGCATTCTTTTCAACTTCTGACTAGTCTCACTTTATGGTGTTCCTTTTCTTAATCTGTTTTTAACTATTAAAACCAATATTTTTGTTAGAAGCATATCATTCGTAAATTTTAAACATTAATGTCTGCTCATGATAATTGCTTTGAGATACGAACTAAATATTATTGTGGCAACTACATCATTTTGAAATGTGGTCTGTTTTTCTGTTTCTGTTACAGGGTCTTTATGCTGTCGTAGAATTTTGTCAAAAGGACAGCGTAGCTTCACTGCAGAGTGTGACTCGTATTCTGAGCGTGGGCACAGAGGCCGCGATTCCATTCAGGTCACGTTTCTTCAATTTAAAGTTGAAGAATCCAGCCAGCCAGACTTCTGAGCAGTCAGATATACCATGCAGTAGCCAGTCGCCTCCCTCAAACAAGAAGCTTTTCGAATTACTTTGTAATGCCGAGAGTGTAAGTTTATAGGAATACTTCCTTGACACAAAAGTGTGTGTTTGCATTATTTTGTATAAGTTCTTACTATTTCATATTGAAACTACAGAGTATGTTGAGTGAGCAGTAAATGTGATCTGTCCCCACTTCCCGCCGCCATAGCCCATTTGTACCCCTCAGAAGTGACCACATTCCTCCCAAGTTTCGGGCTTTAGAGTACTGGGGCTTTCTTTATCTTGCCATTATAGTGACATAATTTGTACATGACATTGTTCTCCAAATTTTAAAATGTCTGATTTCTGGTTTTATTTTCTTTCTGCTCTATTAATGTTTATATTAGTTTTTGTTTTTCTTACTTAGATTTTTCAAAGGTTTAGCTAGTTTAGTAGTCTTTTCAAAGAATCAGTCCATGGTTTTATTTATCGAAATATTTTTTGTTTGATTTTCTAATTTCTTTTAAAAAGATTTCATTTTTAGAGAGAGGGAAGGAAGATAGAAAGAGAGGGAGAGAAACACCACTTGGCTGCCTCTCACACATCCCTCGCCACTGCAGACCTGGCCTGCTACCCAGGCATGTGCCCTGACTAGGAATTGAACTGGCGACCCTTCTGTTTGCAGGCCGGTGCTCAATCCACTGAGCCACACCATCCAGGACAATTTTCTGATTTTTAAAATTTTATGTCCTTTATAGTTCTTTTATTTATTTTTCTCGAATGCTTTATTACTGACATTATTTTCAAATATGAGCATTTATGCTATGATTTGTATTTTAAATACTTAATTCTACTTTATACTTTGAAAATGTAATCATTTCAGCATCAGTCACATACTGATGTTGAAACACACATACATACACACAAAATATACGGTTATTATTTTAAAGAGCATAGATCTTGGGCCTTCATTACTTGAAGCATTGCTTATTTCCAGTGTTTCTTGCCTTTAACATTAGTTCTTTTGTCTCCCCAACTTCTTTTAAAATGTCTAGTTTTGTGGTTGTTTTTGACCTTTTCTGGAGCATTTTACTGTTTTCATCTTCCTTATACAGTACTTTGTTCTGATTGACTAAGAAAAGTAATAATTTTAATTCTGGTCACTTTTATTTTGCTAGTGTCATTATTTCTCAGTGCTTTTAAAAAGGGTATTTTAATAAATCTACTTTTAAGGCTGAAGAGAGAAAGATTGCATATTTTAAAGAAGGTCTCCAAAGCCATTAATTCTCTAGAAGTGAAATGACAATTATTTTATATGACTTGTGCTTTTTGTACTTCGTTGGTATTGTTTTGGCCAGCTAGGTGGACGATCAGCTGAACACTCTGTTGAAGGAGTTCCAGCTGACGGAGGAGAATGCGAAGCTGCGCTACCTCACCTGTTCGCTCATCGAAGACATAGCAGCTGCGTATTTTCCGCACTGTGAAGTCAGACCCTTTGGCTCTTCTGTGAATGGTTTTGGGAAATTAGGATGTGATTTGGACATGCTTTTGGACCTAGATGAAATTGGAAAATCCAGTGCTCACAAGGTATATTTCTTTAGATCACTAAAATTAAGGTATTAGAAAAGTAAAGAACATCTTTGAATAAAATTATAACTGTTGATTTCTAAACTTAGTAAACACTGTGGTTAAAGAATATGGTCTATTTGATATTGTAAAGGCTTTCTTTTTATTTGTCTAATATGTGACCATTTTTTAGTACTGTTCTATTTATACATAATAAAATGGTTATTTTCAAAAGTTCAGAAGTTTTTAGGTTAGGCCAACATTTTTACTTACGGTGTTATTCAAAATATCTGCATCTTAACTAATTTCTTATCCGTGTTATCTGGTTATTGGAATATTTTTTAATCTCATGATCTTTGTCCTTAACTTAGAATTCTTTTGATTTTTGTTTTCAATGGCTTCATTAGGTACATACAGGTATATAGGGATATGATTATTATATTTTCTTGAATTTCTATTATATTCATTTATCATTAAATTATGTTTTTTATCTAAATGCTTTCTCCTTAAATTCCTTTTTGTTTGTTTAGGTGGCCACTTGCTATTTGTCTAATATTGTCTTCTTTTTTATTCTTCTTTTCAGCCTTTATGAATGTAAAGGGTATATCTCTTTTTACATTTAGGGTATATCTCTTAGAAATAGCACATCACCAAATTTTGTGCTTTTACTGTGAGTCTTTGAGTTCAATGCATTTATTATTACTGATAATTTTTGGATTCATTTCTCTCTAATTTTTATTTTCTATTTTCTAAGCTTTTTTGTTGCTTTTCATTCTCTTTCCTCCTACTCTTGGATTAATGCTTCCTTTATTCTTGCCTTCCCTTTCTCCTTAAAGTTTAGAATTTATGTACTCTGTTCATGTTCTTACTAACCTTCATGTCTAACAGAGTAAAGTTAACCAGTTTGTAATTCTCTGTGTGCTTGTTTTATTCTGTAGCCTGGGCTGAGGGCAGTTAGGAGGAGTGTGCTAGACTCTTGTGTGTTTTACAGTGCTGTGTAGACCATCCTTTGTAGCACAGCCATTGAACAGATGATTTGCTAGGGAGTGAATAGAAGTTATTTCCTAACTAAAATTGTAAATTTTCATAAAGTTTTTAATGTGTGAAAGATGTATAAATGTGAAATGTGCCATCTAACTTATGACAAAGATTATTTTAGCACAAAGCCAAAAGTTAAAATCTGCCTTTGCTCTTCAGTTTTTCTTTCTCTTAAAGGTTTCTATATTCTAGTGAATTTAAGTAACAGGTGAAAATTGGTGGCTAAGTCCTATTTTCTGTTATCTAAATTATTGCTGTGGTCAGGGTACTTAACTTCTGTTTTATCTTTGTTAGATAGTAGTATACTTGTGAGATTAGGAAGAACTTGTAATAATACTTTTATAACTTATCTGAAATTAAGTAGTGTTACAAGAAATAACAAGAAATATTTATTGATTTAGCTGTATATGAAGAATTTTTCTAATTTTTATTTATCTGATGGAGAAGAGTAACTTTTAAAGGATCTTAGCTTTTGCTCTTAATGATGTGTTTTTTTCATCTGTATCTTCCATAATTGCAGTGTTTGACTTCTGTGCAGAAATCTAGTTACCTCATGTGATTCTCCACGTCTTCTTATGTCAGACAGATTAGACTTGGTTATGCTTTCATAACAAACAGCTCCCAAATTTCAGTGGCTCCCACATCCCTGGCTATCTCTTGCTGAGGCCATTGGGCCAAAGTGGGTCAGCAGGCACTCTAGACAGGTGTCTCTGCAGCACCCAGGCTGACCACGGTTTCATCTCCTGTGCTTCTGCCATCACTGGTGCAGTGGGAAGGCCAAGTGGAGGACGGAGCTCTGGCTCTTGAAGCTTTTGCCTGGAAGTGATGCATGAAGCTGTTGCTTACATTTTATTGGCAAAGCAAGTCATGTGACTGTACTTAACATCAGAGAGGCAGGAATGGGAATCTTGTCAGAAAGGGGATGCAGAAATTTTGGTGAATGGCTTTAGTAACACTCACATTCCTGCCTATAGTTCAGTTTCTCCAGTTTCCTGGCTCTAATTCCATTACTTAGGCCTATTTTATGGTGGTGTTTTCACTTCTCTTACCTCAGTGATTTTATTCTTTTCTCATTTATATTATTTAAATTTTTTTAAATTACATTATCTTTTCTGTTTCTAACCCTTCCTTTGCATCTGAGGATGCAATCCAACAATATCCCTCTATCAACTAATCTGATACTACTTTCCCTATTGCCTTTCATTTGCCATCCTGAGATGATTTAACTCCAGATAAGTTTTTTTCTTCTATACCTGCTTAACCTTTTTAAAATTAAATTTATTGGGGTGACATTGATTAATAAAATTAGGTAAGTTTCAAGTCCACTTTACAAGTCTACAATACATCATCTGTGTATTGCATTGTGTATTTACCACCCCGAATCAAATCTTCTGTCTGTCACCTTGTATTTGACCCCCTGTCACCTTGTATTTGACCCCCTTTACCATTTACTACCTCCCTTACACCCCCTTTCCTTCTGGTAACCACTATACTGTTGTATGTGTCTGTGTTTTTGTTTTTTATCTTGTTTGTTCATTTGTTGCTTTCAATTTTATGTCCCACATGTGAGTGAGATCATATGGTTCTTGACTTCCATCTGACTTATTTTGCTTAGTGTGATCTTGAGATCCATTCATTTTGTCGCAGATGACAGTATTTCATGTTTTCTTATGGCTGAGTGTTATTCCATTGTATGGACCACATCTTCTTTATCCAATCATCTATTGAAGGACACTCTGGTTGTTTCCATCTACTGGTCACTGAATAAAGCTGCAGTGAACATAGGGACACATTCATCTTTGTGAATAAATGTTTTCGGATAGATTACCCAGGAGAGGCGTTGCAGAGTCATGTGGTAACTCATATTCTTAATTTTTTGAGGAACCTTCACACTGTTTTCCGTAGCGGCTGTACTAGTTACATTCCCACCAGTAGTGACTGAGGGTTCCTTTTTCTCCACAGCCTCTCCAAGTTGTTACTACTTGTTTTATTGATGGTAGCCATTCTAACAGGTGTAAAGTGGTATTTCATTGTAGTTTTTTTTTTAATCCTCACCCAAGACATTTTTTATTTCTTTTAGACAGGAAGGGAGACAGGGAGAAAGGGAGAGAGAGAAACATTGATTGATTGCCTCCCATATGTGCCTGACTGGGAACCAAACCCAAAACCTAGGTATGTGCCCTGACCCGTAATCAAACCTGCAACCTTTTGGTTGTGGGACAGTGCTCTAACCAGCTGAGCCATACCAGCTAGGGCATGAACGTCTCCTTGATAGAAGACATTCTTAATCTTGATAGACAATGTTTTGCCTTCTTTGCTTTTTCATTAAGGAGATCCACACTTTACTTACCGGTTTCTCTTGTTTGAATTTCTCCTTCCATATAAATTTGTGTGTTTGTATTTTAAAATACATTGGACTAGGGGAGCAAAAGTTATAAAGATGTTATAGCAAAAGAAATGAACTACATTTTGGAAATTTTAATGTTTTTTAAAGGAAATCCATTTTTTAATCTCATATAAAAGTTTGCCAGTAAGTAGAAATCTGGCAAGTAGAGAAAACATAACATGTTGATTTTTGAGGATTGTTTGTTTACATGTCACATTTATATATTTTTAAATCTTTTTTAATGATTATAAAGTAATAATTACAAGAATGTATAGTGTTATTATCTGTTATGGTCCTACCACTTTGAGAAATAACTACTCTGAGTAGTTTATTTTGTTCCGGATACTTTTCATTTAGAAACGCTGTTTTTTTTTAAACCACAAAGTTATTTTTTATAGATTATAACTTAATTTTTTCCCCTAGTTAATAGTGTTTTGGCAGTCAGTCTACCCCATCCTTTTCAATGGCTGCAGAATATTCCCTGGAATTTATGTACCATTGTTTATTTAACTAAAGCTTTGTTTTTTAGACAACTAAGGTGGTATCTTTTTTCCCCACCTTTATTACCTACTACATTACGTAATATTCTTTTGTTGTACATAATAGAACCCGATCCAAACTAACTTAACCAAAGGGAATTGGTAGTAGAAGCGGCATCGTAGAACCCATGGTCAGGAACGTGGATGAGTCTTAGGAAAGGACTAGAACTAGGAAGTATAAACTATCAAGAATCCATGAAGTGTTCTTTATTTCTCCCCACAAATTTGTTTTATCTTTTTCCCCTTTACTTCCTTCCCTCTACTGCCATTGATTTTCTTTACATTTTCTTCTTTGTGGTATACAGTGCACCTGCCCCAGAACTTCTGAGTTACATATTTCAGCCATGTGGTTGCCTCTGAACCTCAGTTCCAGTTCCTAGTAGAGATCTCAGTATGAATGATACAGCCTACAGTGCTTAGATTAGTTGCCCATGAGAGTAGGGGGTGAGTGGGTGGGTAGATTTCCATCATCAACATTGTTGGGGCCTGGATCCTTTTAGTAGGAACTTCTAGAAGGGAGAGTGGTTGAGGGTAGGGACCCCCACAGATAATGCAGCAGCGAGTGAACAGCTTGGTATATTGACTCATTTATGGGAGTATTCCGTTGGGATAAGGTCCTAGTATTGTAAGAGCTAGTCAAAGTATACACCTAAAATTCCAATAATATTGAAGTCATCCAAAAATTATATCCTAGTTTACATTTCCCCTCATAGTATATACATATTTCCCTACTCCCATTAGTGCTGGTTCTGTCAGCCTTTTTGCCTTTGCCAGACTGATGAATAAAGTCTCATTGCTGTTTTCATTTCTTTTGTTTGTTTCTAGTATTTTTTAAATTGTGAGAGTATGTAGATAAAATTCTGGGTTCAAGAATCATTAGGATACTAACATTAGACTTTATAGTCTAATTATGGTATTTAAGATATAGTTAGGTTTATTTGTGTTCTGAGTTTTTTTTTTTTTTTTTTTTACTTATTTTTTAGAGAAGGGGAAGGAAAGGAGAAAGGGAAACATCAGTGTGTAGTTGCATCTTGAGCACCCCCTATTGGGGACTTGTCCCACAACCCAGGCATATGCCCTGACTGGGAATGGAACCGGCAACTCTGGTTTGCAGGCCTGCTCTCAATCCACTAAGCTACACCAGCCTGGGCTGGGTTTTTTTTTTTTTTTTGTTATTATTAAATATTGTTCTATTACAGTTGTCCCAATTTTCCTCCCTTTGTTGTCCTCTGTCCAGCCCACCCCCCCAACTCTCACAGTCATTCCCCACCCTATTGTCCATGTCCATTGGTCATTCATACATGTTCCTTGACTGGTCCCTTCCCCTTCTTCCACCATTATCCCTCTCCCCCTTCTCTTCTGGTCACTGTCGTCAGTCTGTTCCTCATTTCCATACTCTGGTTCTATTTTGCTCATTAGTTTATTTTGTTCATTAGGTTCCTCTTAGAGGTGAGATCATATGGTATCTTTCACCAACTGGCTTCTTTCACTTAGCATAACATTCTTCAGTTCTATCCATGTTGTTGCAAAAGGTGGGAGCTCCTTCTTTCTTCTGCATAGAATTCCGTTGTGTAAATGTGCCACAGTTCTTTGATCCACTCATTTACTGATGGGCACTTAGGCTGTTTCCAGCACTTGGCTATGAACATAGGGGTGCATAAGTTCTTTTGATTTGGTGAATTTGCTGACTCCAGATTCTTAGTTTATATTCCCAGCAGTATCAGACATCTTAGAGTATAATCCTAGCAGTGGAATTGCTGGGTCAGAAGTTACATTTTTAGTTTTTTGAGGAAATTGCTATACTGTTTTCCACATTGGCTGCACCAGTCTGCATTCCCACCAACAGTGCACTAGGGTTCCCTTTTCCCCACATCCTTGCCAGCACTTGTTGTTTGTTGATTTGTTTATGATGGCCATTCTGAGCAGTGTAAGGTAATATCTCATTGTGGTTTTAATTTGCATCTCTCTGATGGCTAGTGATGTTTAAGCATCCTTTCATATGTTTCTGAGCCCTCCATATGTCCTACTTAGAGGAGTGTCCGTTCAGGTCCTTTGCCCATTTTTTAATTGTATTTTTTAATTATATTTTTTGTCTTTCTGGTGTTGAGTCATACAGTTCTTTATATATCTTGGAGATCAAACCCTTGTCCAAGGTATCATTGGCATATATGTTCTTGCATATGGTCAGTTCAAGTTTTGACGATTTTTTTTTTTAGTTAGCCATGCAGAAGCTTTCTAATTCGATATAGTTTATTTGTTTATTTTTTTCATTTATTTTCCTTGCCCTAGGAGATGCATTTTTAAAAATATTGCTACATGGGATATCTGAAATTTTAGTGCCTATGTTTTTTTTCCTCTAGGACTTTTATGGTTTCATGACATACACTTAAGTTTTTTACCCATTTTGAGTTTATTTTGGTGTATAGTGTCAGTTGCTGGTCTAGTTTCAGTTTTTTGCATATACCTGTGCAGTATTTCCCAATACCATTTATTGAAGAAGCTATTTTTACTCCATTGTATTCTCCTGCCCCCTTTGTCAAATGTTAATTGACCATAGAGACATGAGTTTATTTCTGGGCTTTCTGTTCTGTTCCATTCATCTATGTGTCTGTTCTTATGCCAGTTCCAGACTGTTTGATTCAAGTGTCCTTGTAGTATCGTTTGATATTAGGTATTGTGATCCCTCCTACTTTGTCCTTCTTTCTCAAAAAGAGGCTATTCAGGGTCTTAACTTAGTTCTAATTTCTTTAGTTTCAGAAAACAAGAACATGTTTTACTATGTTTCTTAGCCATTTTTATTCTGTTGATTTCTTTTTTTATAAGGAATTTTTTTCAAGAATTACTTTTTTTAAAGATTTTATTTATTTTAGAGAGATGGGGAAGGGAGGGAGAAAGAGAGGGAATGAAACTCAGTGTGTGGTTGCCTGTAGCACACCACTCCGTACTGGGGATATGGCCTGCAGCCCAGGCATGTGCCCTGACTGGGAATCAAACGAGTGATGCTTTGGTTCACAGGCCTGCGCACAATTCACTGAGCTACACCAGCCAGGTTATTCTGTTGATTTCTTATTCAAGTCTTTTTTGTCCATTTTTAGAATTAGGTAGGTTTTCTTCTCTTTCATGTGTACAAATCCTTCATAAATGAGGGAAAGTAGTCCTTATGTGACATTTGTCTTACTTTGTCTTTTATCTAGTACTGGGTATATGCTTTGCCTTCAGATGGTTTTAAAATTTTTTTTAAAAGATTTTCTTTATTTATCTTTAGAGGGGAAGGGAAGGAGAGAGAGAGAGAGAGAGAGAGAGAGAGAGATATCAATGTATGGTTGCCGCCCATGTGGTCCCCTGCTAGGAACTGGCCCGCGACCCAGGCATGTGCCCTGACTGGGAATCAAACTGCGATTCTTTGATTCACAGGCCCACGCTCAATCCACTGAGCTATGCCAGCCAGGTCTTGGTTTAAATTTTACATAATTGTATTTCTTCTTTTGTGTGTTCTAAAATTTTGTGTAATACTTAGTGAATCCTTTACTACTTTGAGATTGTAAAACTATTCAACCATTGTCTTCTAGTTCTTCACTGATAAAACATTTTACAGCGCCTTTGACTTATGTTGATACTTTGGTTTTTGGACCAGTGTAGGGATTTAGGTTGTTGTTTGTTTGTTGTTAGTTTATTTGTGGCCCCATGACTTATTTGTTGAGTAGTAATATTCCCCCAGTAATTTGCAGAGCTTATTTTATTAAATATTAAATTCCTCTCTATATAGTTAAGTGTATTGATGCTGTCTTGTCTCCTGTTGATCTTCTGATCTTGTGTGCATACTGTCATCTGCTTTTGCCTGTATTTCATTTTTTGTTTTTGTTTTGATTTATTTTTGCTAGAATGGATTTAGAGCATTCTTTTAGAAAAGATTGTGTAGGAAATTCCTTTTTATAAAAAGCTTCTATTTACAAGTATTTTTATTATTCAGAACTCAGGAAACTTTCTGATGGAATTTCAAGTGAAAAGTGCTGCTTCAGAAAGAATTGCAACTCAGAAGATCCTGTCTGTGATAGGAGAATGCCTTGACCACTTTGGCCCTGGTTGTGTGGGTGTACAAAAAATACTGAATGCTCGGTGTCCGCTAGTGAGGTTCTCACACCAGGCCTCTGGATTTCAGTGTGATTTGACTGCTAACAATAGGTATGATCGCTTAAGTTTATCATCTTAAATGTGAATAGCGTAAGGTGTTAGTATAGTTTTTCTCGTAATGAACTGTCTAATAGCTTTGGAGTCATAGATGTGCCTTAATAATAATCTTTTAAAGATTTGAACATGGGGTTCAAAAAGTAGGAAATATTTTCTGTTAGGCGCATTCGTTTTTTTGGTGTTCATAACTAAAATGTTAGGATATTGTGTTAAAATGTTACCATACCTAACTAACATCATTTTCTGGGAGAATTGCATTTTGTTGTTACTATTTATGCAGCCTGATGGCAACGTAAAGTACCTGTAGTATATAGTCTTCTCTGTATAGGCTTCTAATATACTTTGAAAATAAGGTATCAACTTGAGTTTGACTTCTGAATTACCTCCAAACATAGTCAACTTTGCTTCTTAAACAAATACGCTATTTACTTAAGTCAGAATGTAGTCTGAGTGGCTTTAGAATGTGTAGGTTTTCTTTAGCATATTTTCATTTTATTATTCTAGCAACCTGTTTGCTTAAAAAAAAAAGAGGATGAGAAGAACTAATTCCTTTATGCTCTAGTTATTTTTTCTTTTCTTTTGTTCTCAATAGGGAAAACATTATTAATTGAGTTTACTTTTTATTTATTTTTAAAAACTAGTATTTATTTATTTTCTTTTTACAGGGAAGGTAAGTGAGGGAAGTATTGATGTGAGAGAGAAGCATTCATTGGTTGCCTCTTGCACATGCCCCAACAGGGAACTGAACCTGCAGCTCAGGCATGTGTCCTGACTGGGAATCAAACCTGTGACCTTTTGGTTCATGGGCCAACACTCAACCAACTGAGCCATGCTGGCCAGGGGGAGAAGTTTATTTTTTAATTCTGGTATTCTCATTGCATGCATTTTATTTCACCATATTATGTTACATGAGTAATCATAACTAAAAATATTCAGAAAATCCTATCTAGAGTAGTTTTAATTAAACCCAAGGATTCACTAACAAGATAGTGCTGAGTACTTCTGAATTTCTCTTAAGTGGCTGATGTAGCAAAAATAAGTAGAAATATATACTGTACTTTCTAACATTTCTGGTATGTAAATGAGAACAAAATGACATTTATCTTTCTCTGTAATTATCATTGTCTTGTTGGGACAGGTTTTTAAACATTTGTTTTAATAGGCTTCAGGTTTTTAATCCTTGCATCATTTCTTTATATTGGATACTTCACACTATTTGATATTTATTTTTCAGCTTAAGTTAGCTTCATTTATATAGATAAAATATTTTTTATTCTAAAATAAAGATAACATCACAAGTTGCATAAAAACAGACAGCTTTTACAAAAATGATTTTTGGTAGAAAAATATTTGATTCCATGTGATATTTGTAGGAACTGCATACCATATTGTAAAACATTTAATCATTGTGAATTTCCAATTTGCCATTTATCATTCTATTCTCTTTACACACAGTAAGTAAATGCCATTGTGGTACTTTTATAGACTGTTTGAGATTGATACTGTTAAATAATTTTGTGCCTATGTCTGTTCTTTGAGAAACTAGAAATATATTTTGATCAGTAGGTACTTAAATATTTAAAAATATTTCTGATTAATAATTCTTTGCATTATAACATTATGGCTAGGAAACATGGAAAATAAGCTCTGGATTTTGATTTATTTATTTTTTTTTGATTTCTTAATAGATACTTTATCTTTGTCAGTTTTGGTTTTATAAGTGGTAGACTGAAGTAACTTTGGCTGAATTTTAAGACATTTATACTTTCTTGGTAAAATAAGTAGAATATTTACTTCTGTTTTTAGGCTTGCTTATCTACCAAAGGTCTAGATAAGCCTTGTGTAAAACTGAGGTGCAAAGCCATCACTTGCCTTTATTAGTACTTATTAAATAGCACTTACATAGTGTGTTTTACTTATGTAAGTCATGTTTAGGAACTTTGACTTAAAAATTAAGTTTTAGAACTACGGTGTAATTGTCAACATTTAGAAGAAAGTTTTAATAGTAATGAATATATTTGATATTCAACCATTTACATTAAATTTTATGTTGCCACCCTGGCTGATGTGGTTCAGTGGATTGAGTGCCGGCCCACGAACCAAACAGTTGCCAGTTCGATTCCCAGTCGGGCACATGTCTGGGTTGTGGGCCAGTTCCCAGTTGGGTGTGCATGAGTGGCAACCACACATTCATGTTTCTCTCCCTCTCTTTTTCCCTCCCTTGCCCTCTTTCTATAAATAAATAAAATCTTTAAAAAATTTTTATATTGCGAATACATTATACTTCTGGTTTCCTGGTCATGGTGTTCTGAAAACATTCAGATATTGAAAGATATTTAGGTGTTTCCAGTTGTGTGTTTTATTCTCCTTTGGAATCATAATTTGGTGGGTTGAAAATTCTTTTTATTTTTCTCTTTTGAAGGATTGCCTTGAAGAGTTCTGAACTCCTGTATATATACAGTGCCCTGGACTCACGAGTGAGAGCCTTGGTGTTCAGTATCCGGTGCTGGGCTCGAGCACATTCTTTAACGAGTAGTATTCCTGGTGCGTGGGTCACAAATTTCTCCCTGACGATGATGGTCATCTTCTTTCTCCAGCGGAGATCACCTCCTGTTCTTCCAACACTGGACTACTTAAAAACCCTAGCAGGTAGGACTAGAAGCAGCGTCTCTTCTTTCTGACAGTTTGAATGAATATTATTACCATGTGTTATCAAAGTCGTGTGTGTTTATTAGTCCTATAATATGTTGTCTGTATTTTTAAAGCCTCTTGTATCTTAAAGTGCTTTTTATTTTTTAGTGTCCACTAGGGGTCATAAGAGCAGATGATTTCTGAAGCTGAGGCGTATAGAATTTTATGAGAAATCTGTTTTGTTTAGTCTTTTTGTATCAGTTGACAAGGATATTTACAACTATCATGAGACAGTTGGAGCCTCTCCCTCAGTTTGACCAAGCCGGGGTCGGGATACAACAACATATTCCAGATACAGTTTTGAGTGAGTCATAGATTCATAGGTGGCTGTGTAAATTTGAACCTATTTCCAGATTTCTGTCAGTTGCTAAAAATTGTTTCATGATGTTTTAAGATCCTAATTTTTTAAAAAATTATAAGCAATCTTAGATAAAATTTAAAATCAGTATGCTACTTAACTTACAATATTACAAAATTGAAATTTTGATACACTTGAAACTTGAGGAGATAGCAAAGTATTAAAATCCTAAATTCTAAAAGGAAGATAATTTAGGGATACACTTACAATGTATTACACTCTGTAGTCTGCCCAGCCTGTGTATTGCTGCCAGATAATTCTTTTAAAGGACATGTCTGAAACTTCCCCGTTTAAAGTGACTTCGAAAGGGGCTTTATTCCCTACAGAGCAAACCTCAGGCAGTTTCCTCAGCTTGTTGTGTAAGACTGTCATCTGTCTAGCCCAGCCCAGTTTCCCAGCCTCCTTCCTGCCTCCTCCTCCGTGCTTTCCGTATTCCTGCCAGTACTGTGAGTACACTCGTGAGGTTTGTCTTAGCTCTTGTCCACACCGTTTTTCTACGTTGTTCTGTTGATACTCTCTTCTGTGCCACTTTCCCTTATTCCAGTTATAAATAATCTTTTCTTTCCTGTGAGCACTTTAAGTACAGGCTGAAATTGAGCTCCAAAACAGCTCAGGGTGACAGGTTAATGGGAAGTAGGAAATTTGCAGGTAGAGTGGTGGTCATGTTTCTCACTTTTGAGATTGAAATAGAGGGCAGCGCCCATGCTTGTCCTCATTTCATTGTTTGATGTTATTCATTCAACAAAGTATTGGTTACTTACTGTGCAGTGGGGATATGGCAAATATTCTCAGGAACTCAGTCTAGTACAGAGCTTTAAAATTCTGATAATTATTTTGGGAAAAGACTATTATTTGTGGACAAATTTAAGTTAACTTTCTGAGTTCTTATTTTAAATCTATTTTAAAATAAATTAAAATGTAGTCACATCTATGGCATCAAAACAGGTAAAAGGAATTTTGGAATTCAGTTTTCTATTTCAAAATAACAAATGGTTGTTTAAAGGTTTTCACCTTTTTAAACATAGTATGAGGTATTTTCAGGCTGTTTTTTGTAGGCATTTTAGGTATGAATTGCCAATAAATGCAAAGATAATTTGATATAATTATTGCTTTGGTCTTTGACATTCTAGCAATATCTTGAGTTGCTATAAAAGAATTTTTCCCACTTGATATTCAGATAAAAGCTGTCAATTTGTACATTTTTATAAAAGAAGACATGCATTTTGCTTGCTTGCTTTTTTTTCCAATACATATACCTTTCTAGAAGTTTGTTAACCACTGTTTAGAACCTAAAGTAAGTTCAAGTCCAAACTTTATAGTCTTGTATTTAGGGCCCTTTGTGAGCTTCCTTTTTCTCTTCTGCATTCATTCCTGTATGCAAATCAGGAGCTTCAGCACATTAAACTCCTCTGTGGATCCTCAGATGTTCTTCAATTTTTACTTCTCTGGCCCTACCTCTTTTTACATGAAGAACCTCTTCAAGATTCAGCCAGGGAAGAGAGAGAGAGAACCAGTCGAAGGTATCATTTTGTTAGGTCTTTCTTGCCTTCTTGCCAGGAGGTAGTGTTCTGTTGGCATCCAAGCACCCTGGGCACACCTGTATCATAACAACTTTGTTGTTACGATGTTGTAGTTGTAGTTCTTTGATCCGCAGGCCTTTGCCAAGCTTTTCTAGGGCAGGCTGTCTTTGACTTGCTTCAGATCTTCATTCTTGGCATAACATTGGGTCTGTAGTAGAAGTTCAGTAAATAGATTTCAAATGGGTGGGTGAACATTTTAACTTGAAGGCTGTTTATAATGAGCATGATAGCACCTTTCATATTTTGATTAGCTTGGAATTTCTGTTCTTTGTGTTTTCTTAAATTTCCACTACTTTCCCCCATGTCTCTTATTTTCTTGTGTGTTTTATTCTTTTTTTTGGCTTTGCTGCCTTTGTTATATTTACTTCTGTACCTGAGGGTTTTACTTCTGTACTTAGTGCCTCTCTGCTTATAAACAGTTGCTTAATTAGAGGGTTTGTTTGTTTGTTTGTTTGTTTAGGATCCTTGTTCTTCTTTTCCGAGAGGAATTGAAGGCTTGAGGAAGAAATGACTGGGTGGCATCTTTAACAAATTTGAGGCAGAGACCCCAGCATAGAGGAGTGCTCTGTGATCCAGTAACAACTTACTGAGTGCTAACTCTGTGCCAGGCACTTGGCTAAAAAATTTATGCATCATCTTCAATCCTCCAGCAAACCTTATGGGGCAGAGTTACTATTTTCATTTTGCAAGGGAGGAAATGAAGGCTTTGAGCGAGTATCTAAATTTCCTAAGGTAACATAGAACATGCTAGAATTCAAACCCAAGGACTTTTCAGAGCATAGATAGAATACACATAGAAGTACATGTATGTGTATCAACATTCATAAACTGAACACATCCATGTAACCACAACCAAATTGAATGAAGTGCCCCAGAAATAGCAGCCAGGCTCCCTTCCAGTCACTGCACCCCTTCCCCACCTCAGCTCTTTTCACAGGACGGATTAATTTTACTTGTTACAGCTCGTGTAAAGGACATCGTAGAGGATGTTATTTTGTGTGTGCTGTTTTCCCTCTCAGCATGCTTTTTAGGAGAGTCGTTCATATTGTTAGTGTATTTGTGGACCATTTGTTTGCATTGCTGTTGTGTGAATATACCAAAAAAACTTAAATCCTATTTTTGATGTGCATTTGAGCAATTTGAAGTTTGGAAATATACAGGTAGTACTAGTGTGGCAGTTCTGGCACATTTCTTTTGGTGAGTGCAGGTGATACAGTGGAATTTCTTTTTTCTTTTTCATTTTAAATGAAAAACTTTTATTTCTTTATTTTTCAATTACAGTTTACATCAATTTTACTTTGTACTACTTTCAGGTGTACAGCATAGTGGTTAGGTAATTATATACTTTAGAGTGTCCCCCTGCTACAGGAGTGGAATTTCTGCATCTTAGACTCTGGGTATATTCGGGTTCAGAGACATGGCCAGTTTTCCCAGGTGTCACTCCCACAGGTATCATATACAAGTTCTAACTGCTCCATGTCTTTGCAGTACCTAGTGCTGCCTTTTCCTTATGTAGCTCTTAATGCATGTGTAGTGGCTTTATGGTGTGGTTTGAGTTCCTTTTCCCCAATAACTAATGAAATTGAGCATCTTTTTATGTATTAGCTCTTTGAGTGTCTCTTGTGAGGTTTCTCTAAGTCATTGCCTTTTCTTACTAGATTATCTATTTTTTTAAATATTTTATTTATTTATCTTTAGAGGGGAAGGGAAGGAGAGAGGGAGAGAAACATCAATGTATGGTTGCCTTTCATGCGTCCCCTGCTGGGAATTGGCCTGCAGTGAACTGGTCTGCAACCCAGGCATGTGCCCTGACTGGGAATTGAACTGCGATTGCCTGGTTCGCAGGCCCGCGCTCAATCCACTTAGCTACACCAGCCAGGGCTATTTTTTATTTGTAGGGATTTTTGTATGTTTTGCATATGAGTCCTTTGTCACATGCTTTGTATGTGTGTATCTCAGGTATGTGTACACTGCTTCCCTTTTCACTCTCTTAATGTTGTCTGATGAAAAAAAGCCCAGGTTTTTAAAGTTCAGTTCTATCAAAGTCATACATGTACATAGATGAAGAGTAAAAATGTTCTACAAACTTTGTAACAATAACTCGCCCTCTGAGCCTGTTCTATCTAGGCAAGCAACCACTTTAACTCAAACAGCTGATCTAGTTGATATTTTAAACCATCCTTATTTCTAAAATAAAATGCTTGAATTGTGGTTTCTTGACTTCTAGGTTTAGCACCATCTATGACTTCCCTTATGGAAGAGGAGGAATTAACTGTCTTTTTCCTGTACCCACATCGCACACCTGCCATATTTTGGAAGTAGCTATAGCACAATTGTGGTGTGCACTCTTTACATGATTATGACTTTGTAAACATTCATATCTGACCCATGGACACTAAGACTGATTTCCTTTTCTACCTAACTTTTTATCTTTTGGGGGTTAATACAGATTTTAGTACTACTTATTTTCTTTTTTATTTGTTTGTTTGCTTAGTTTTTATGTACTTAACATTAATTAAGTCTCAAACTTGCTGCCAGTTGTCTAGATCATTTCTCTCAAGAGTCAGAAGCAGGAAAAATTTTATTAATTAATTCTTTCTTGCCTAGCCTCTGTTTTTTCTAAACAGCTTTTTATTTTGTTTTGTTTAGTCATATGTTAGAGACCTTCTTCAGATGCCTGGTGATCTTCAAATTTCTACTTCTGTTTGAGTTAGAAACAGAAAGTTAATTTCAGTCTCAGAGCTTAGGTGGGGTTTGTTGTCTGATGAATGTTTGTTGTAGGGTAATAGGGCTGCACTGTTTTATTTGGAGGAACTTTGGATGTCAGAATCGCTGGGTCATTCCTTTTGGGCTCTTCATAGTCCCCAGAAATGACTCTTCTAATCCCCCCCCCCCCCCAAGAACAGGCTAGGCTACTAGCATACTGAAGTTTTCTGTTAGAGAAGAAGAGTTGGGAGTGGGGGAGGGTGGAGTCTCAGTACTTGTTTAATCCACAAGCTTCCAGTTGTGCAGGAAGTAGCACTGCTGTCCCTGGGCTGGCAGGGGCACTGCCTTGTATGTCTGGCTTCTTCTTGGCCTTCTTTGCTGCTGGTTAGAGTTTAGTGTTCTTGTATCTCCTGAGTCATTGCTACTTGGTCATCTGTCCTTACGTTTGAAATTTTTATTGCTCTTATTTCTTCTGTTCTTGATCTTTAAAATTTTATGTCATTTTACTGTTATTTTAGTGGTGTTTTGGGGGGGTGAATATAGATGCTTGCATTTCTTTCACTATCTTTAGTCTGTGCTCATAACCAGGACATAGAGAGGCTGCCTCCCTGAGAGGCTGAGTGTTATTGGAGCATGTGGCGTGGTGAGAGGAGCAGGTAGGACTTGACTTTGTCTGTTGATTTACCTTGTCTTTTTCTAATTCCTCTCTGACAATTGTAGATAAGCATGCAGGATCAAGCATCAGGTATCATTCAAATTATTGGATGTAGGTCTTTGGATTTCATGACTTGGAATACTTCTTTCCAGCCCCTTCTTGCCTGTAAGGTCTCCTTTGAGAAATCAGCTGACAGTCTGATGGGAACTGCTTTGTAGGTGACTGTCCCCTTATCTATTGCTGCTTCTAGGATTCTGTCCTTCATTTTAATCTTGGCTAATGTAATTATGATGTGCCTTGGTGTGTTCCTCCTTGGGTCCAACTTCTTCGGAACTCTCTGAGCTTCCTGGATTTCCTGGAGGTCTATTTCCTTTGCCAGATTGGGGAAGTTCTCCTTTATTATTTGTTCAAATAAGTTTTCCACTCGTGGGTGTTCCTCTTCCCCTTCTGGTACCCCTATAATTCGGATGTTGGAATGTTTAAAGATGTCCTGAAGGTTCCTAGCCTCTCCTCATTTTTTTGAATTCTTGTTTCTTTATCCTTTTCTGTTTAGTCATTTTTTTTCCTCTTTCTGATCCACTCCTTTGATTTGAGTCCCAGTTTCCTTTCCATTACTATTGGTTTCCTGTGCATTTCCATTCAGTTCAATTAGTTTAGCCTTCATATGTTCCTCTCATTTGTGACTATAATCAACCAGTTCTGTGAGCATCCTGTTAAAGGGACTTATCTAAGAAAAAGAAGATAAAAAAGATGAACAGTGAAAGGACAGCAAACTCACAGTTACTAAGAACCACACCTAAAACAAAAACAAACTAAGAGGACAGCTAGATCAGGAGCAGAACCGTAGAAATGAAGATCATATGGAGGGTTAGCAACAGGGGAGTGGGAGAAGGAGAAGGGGGGAGGAGGTACAGAAAATAAGTAGCATAGATGGTAGGTAGAAAATAGATAGGGGGAGGGCAAGAATAGTAAGTAAATATAGAATCTAAAGAACTTGAGACATGTGGTCATAAACTAAAGAGGGGGAAGGGTGGGGGAGGGGTGTGCAGGGTGGAGGGGAATGAAGGGGGGAAATAGAATTATAATGACATAATCAATAAAATATATTTAAAAAAACAAATTATTGGTATGTACCTGCTGTATATTAGGCACTTGTTCTGGATTAGACTGGATGGAGAGGCAGTAACAAATAGGACAGCGGCCATGTGGTCCTAGACTGGTATAGGGGAGAAGAGTGCATCCACACAACCAACATGCAGTCAGATAAGCACTAAAGGGACAAAAGGGGAGGCCACCAACTTCGGAGTTAGGAAATGCTTTCAGGTGAGGTGGCCATTGACTTGATTTTTGAAGGTTGAGAATTTGTGTATTTGTAACAGTGGAAGGAAGATTAGAATGCTGAGGGAATTTATGGTGGTTGTACATTTATCAGTAATTAAGGAAATGATGATCTCTATAGATATAAATATTGGGTTGGTCAAAAGTTTTTTTTTTCTATAAGATGGCTCTAGTAGTGCTTAGTTGTCTTTAACTTCATTGGAAACAAGTTGTCTTTAACTTCATTTGACACAGCTGTATTGTGACAGCTGTCACGTAAGTGTGCATTAAAAAAACAACAAAATTAGTGAATTTTTATGTAGGCATTTGAATACTGAAGGTGGGAGAAAATCAAGCAATATTTTCAGCACATTATCCTTCATTATTTCAAGAAAGTTAAAAACAACTGAAAATGCAAAAAAAAAAGATTTGTGCAGTGTGTAGAGAAGGTGCTGTGACTGATCAAACCTGTCAAAAGTTGTTTGTGGGATTTCATGCTGGAGATTTCTTGCTGGACAATGGTCTTCAGTCAGAGAGACCAGTTGAGGTTGATAGCGATCACATTGAGACTTTAATTCAGGACAATTAATGTTATTCCACGTGGGCGACAGCCAACATACTTAAAGGACCAAAGATAAAGTTATTGGTGAAAATGAAAAGTATGTCTTTTATATTATGGAAAAAACTAAACAGACTTTTTGGCGCACCCACTACTATTAGGAAAGGGGAATGTTTACATCCAGTGTAGTGTTAAATTTATTGTACTGAATTCCAGTCTCTTTTAAAGTACTGCACTATAAAATTACTTGGTTTTTATAAAACTCTTAGAGCTTTCAGTTTGTGTCATGGGTGGATTGTTGAAAATAATGTAAAGAAAGGTGATAAGAGTGGAAATGGAGATCAAAATGAAATATTATTGATCAAAAATGGTGTCAAGATTTGAGTTGGTGAAAGATGGGAACTGTCTGCATTTTCATTTATAACTAGAAAACTGATCACTTCAAAAGATACGGTAAGAATGGTCAGTTGTGGATAGGCAGTTCTGGTAGGCTAAAGTAAATGTAATGTTCATGTTACTGTGGTAGGTGTGATTAGTCTAAATCTTTTAAATGGAGTTTTAAATCCTGGTAACTGTAAATAAATATGACACAGTAATAGGAAATATTAATCTATAACTGGTTTATTACAGTTTTCTGAATAGGGACTGCCTTTGAAATATAATATGAAATATTTTTATTTCTGTTTATGTAAGATGCAGAAGATAAATGTATAATAGAAGGCCACAACTGTACATTTACTTGTGACTTGAATAGAATTAAACCTTCAGAAAATACAGAAACACTAGGTAGGTATTTTTCTTCTTTTCTTTTTTGTTCTTTTTTTGATTGGAACAGACTTTTCCCTTATCATTCATGTTCTTTTTTTTTTTTTGCAGAATTATTACTAAAGGAATTTTTTGAATATTTTGGAAATTTTGCTTTCAATAAAAATTCCATAAATGTTCGACAGGTAAATAATATTTTAATATTTGGTTTTTAGGTATCTGATCTACTGTACTAATGCTTAGGGTTTTTTTTTAATTTTTAAGGTTTTATTTTTATTTTTTAGAGAGGAGAAGAGAGAGAAAGAAACATCATTGTGTGCTTGCCTCTCACGTGCCCCACAATGGGGGTTTGGCCCGCAACCCAGGCATGTGCCCTGACTGGGAATCGAACTGCGATCGTCTAGTTCGCAGGCCCGCGCTCAGTCCACTGAGCCACACCAACCAGGGCTAATGTTTAGTTTTTTTATTTTAAGAAATGAAGGTGGGGTTTATTTTTATTATTAAAGAAAAAAAACTTTTCGGAATCTTAATGAAGGAATATTTCAGTCAGAACAGACAACAGGATACAAAATTATGAGTGTGTGACCCCAGCCCTACCCCCCTCTCTAAAAACAGATAGGAAGAAGATTGTAGAAGCAAACAGCAATTCTGTAAAACAAAGTCTTTAAATCCTACAAATATGATGAAAATCTAAACTTCTTTTGCATTAAAAATTTTTTTTTTGTTATCTCAAAAGACCTGCTTTAGTGATATCCTGTCCCTCAGGAAAGAACCCAACACTCCTGTCGGGAACGTACACGCTCCAGTTGACCAGCCCGCCCCTGTTCCTAAAACCCTGTGTATACACGTGTCTTCACACCCAGGCCAGGGGGCGCATGCGACCGCTATGCCTCTTCCTGTTAACCGACCAGTGTCCACCCCTTCCTGGCCAGCAGCAGGCAGGGCGCAGAGAAACCCTTAAATGGTAGTGAGGGTTTAACAGTCCTGAACAGCCAAATTTCAAGCACCTCCACCCAGTTTTCAAAGCACTTTTTTTTTTTTACTATTATTTGAAAATTATAAGATTTAAAAAAATTTTTTTAAAGATTTAATTTATTTATCTTTAGAGGGGAAGGGAAGGAGAGAGGGAGAGAAACATCAATGTATGGTTGCCTTTCATGCGTCCCCTGCAGGGAACCGGCCTGCAACCCCAGCATGTGCCCTGACTGGCAATCGAACCGCGATTGTCTGGTTCGCAGGCCCGTGCTCAATCCACTGAGCTACACCAGCCAGGGCTCAAAGCACTTTAAAAAATGTTACTACATTTCAGTTTTACAGTAATAGATACTAATAAGGAGATTGATGCCTAGAGAAGATACATATATAAGTTGACCAAGATCAGTCACCTAGGTTTTTTTGGAAGAGCAAAAGCCAGCTCTTTTCAACATTTACTACTGTATCTTTCAAAACATGGAATATATTTTGAAAAGTTTTCTGGAAAGCATAATTTTATATGGAGTTCTTTTTAAATGGGATTTGTGTTCTAGACAACAAATTGGATATCTGGTCTCAAAGCTAGATTTTAGTGAGTTCCTTAATTCAGGCCCTTAGGTTTTAATTTATGTAGGCAAGTGAATTTCTGATTTTGGTTCTTTGGAATAGCCGGAGTGATAGACATTTTTCTGAAAAAGAAATCGCAGACCCCTAGGCAAAATTTGTTTGTAAGTGGAGGTGGGTACTTGAGATCCTTCTCTGATTGGGTTTATCCTGTTGGTCATTTTGAACATTCAGTTATAACCCTTACAAGATTGGCTATCTAAAATACATACTCAGATTTCTTGTTCCTTCAGCTCTCCTTTTTTCATTCTTTCTTAACTTTTATCCTGCTGATGGAGATTTCGTTTTAAAAAATGTGGGGAAGAGAGGGACTAAGACAGAGCTCTGGAATACAGTCTGATTCGTAATTAGATTCCGGTTTAGAACAAGGTCACTGAACACATGAAATTTCTTGTCCTTTTTGTATGCTACCCCTGAGGGCTCAGAGATGATAGGCAGGAGCTCTGCTGAGCAGTAGAATGAGAGAAGTCAGGGAATAAACACGTGCTTGCTCACGCTGCAGAATCCTGAGCATTCGTTTTGTAATTTTAAGTAAGAAATGGTGCCATTTTGAAAGGAAAAGATTATGTCAGTTAATGGAGTCATGGCTGCAGGTTTTTCTCTGTTTTCCCTATGAGCTGCCATGCCTGGCAGAGCCTTACTTAAGTTGGGTCTTTAAGAACGATGAAATAGGAAACTTTCAATGTTTTAAAATGAATAATGAGTAATCCTGTTTGTTTTCCGATTTTATACACAGGACATGTTACTATATTTAATTTAAGGATTCTAATATTGTGTGCTTCTATTCCCATTGTAGTAGATGTATCTTTAACAAATCTGAAAAACAAATGTATCTTTACCTTGCATTCTGCCATTTTTCTTTTTTGTTTTTTTTTCCTTCCCAGTTCTATCCTATTAGGTAAAAGATGTTACTTTAAAAATACTTTCATTGATTGGCTTAGTCCAGATACTCTCAACTGAACATCATCATCGATAGCTCATAAACCAAATTAATATTTCTCTAAAGAATGCTCATAAAACTGATGGAAAAAAGTCAACAGTGCATACGTACACACAGATGCAAAACACGCATTCATACCTAGTCCTTTTTGGAAAGAAATTCTTTACTCTGTGAAGTTAATGCTGGTATTCTACATGTTTTTGACATTTTATTAAGGCAAACTTCTTAATTCTGAGCCCTTCATGTATATATGTTTTTTCTTCCTTGTAATAATCTATAGGGAAGGGAACAGAACAAACCTGAATCTTCTCCACTGCACATTCAGAATCCTTTTGAAACTTCTCTCAACATCAGCAAAAATGTAAGCCAAAGCCAGCTGCAAAAATTTGTAGATCTGGCCAGAGAAAGTGCCTGGATTTTACATCAGGAAGATAAAGATCACCCTTCCCCAGCAAGTCATCAGCCATGGGGGCTGGCAGCCCTGCTGCTGCCTTCTGTCACAAACAGCGTGTCTCATGCCAAGAAGAAAAGGAAGAAGCCTGCAAGCGAAAGGGTTAAAAACTTGTTGGAGTCCATAAAAAGTAGCGGTACAGAAAATTCCACAAACACCAGTGGGAAAAGAACAGTTAGTACTCAGGCATAATGGCTACTGCTTGGCTTTGAGAGCTGGTTGCATCCTAGAAAATGCCTGGTGGAGTTTTCACAAAGCTCAACTTTCACCTGATGTCTCCTCTTTTCGTGATCTTTGATCTTCTCTTTGGGTCCTTGATCTGGTCTCAAGTTCTGGGACATTTTCAGGCTGATGAGGCTACGACACAGGCACTTTATTAAAACATCAGCTACAAGGAACAGGTGAATGAAGATTGAAATGTACTTTAATAGATACACTGTACAAAGCAAACGGTAAAAAATTAGTTTTAGAATCATTGTCGACACCTTTGTCAGTCCCTAGGTATGTACAGGTACAGTCGATAAATGCAATAAAGCTTCACATTTTGGTAATACTCTTTAGTATGTATTTCTGTATTCTGTAAGCAAAGTGCTTTTATTCACATATAAACTAAAAGGGGTTGGTAATGATTTTGAAAAAATTGTTCATGTTTTTAAAAGATGAATGCAGACATGTAAGTCACTATGTTCTGGGTATTCTGTGCCATATTGGTACATTGTATTTTAAATAGTTTTTCTGTTTTAAAAATTAAAGCCCTATTACTATTAATCTGTAATATTGCTGGTATCTCCTCACTTCTCTTTTGAAAACTTCTTTATTTTCTGTAGGAAATAGATGTGTTGAAATATAATTCCATTACATTTCCTATGAAGTAACTTTCATTTTAAGAAGCAAAAGTGTGGTGTTTGAAAACTCGGACTTGAGCTAGGTGGGCTTCTTGGTAAATTACTTGGTGCCCGTGGGCTCCCAGTTGTTCATGTGTAAATGGGATAATGGTGCCCACTGCACAGCTTCTTGTGAAGACCAGGTGAGGTACGTATGTCTTGAGCGTGGCATGTAGTACTTGGTACTTCTCTTTAGCTATTCCTTTTTTGTGTTTGTGGTATGTGATTACTATTCTTGACTACTCAGAATTCAGATTTAGAGTGGGTAGTAGTTTTCAAAATAGTTTCCCATGTAAATTTTCAGTCACAAACTATAATGAGCTCTGCTTTGGATGTTTTGGGAAACTAATAGAATTGTTATGAGGCAAATAAGTTCTGTGTATAGCCAACTTCTGAAACCAACAAATAAGTATCACTATTCTTTTTATAAGTGGTGTCTTCAAAAGCCATTTTTCACTCATTCTTTAATTAGGTTTATTTTGTTGGGCTAGAAACCTGTATTAAGAATTAAAGAGAGGTTTTAAAAGCATAAGTATTTAACAGCTTCTAAATGAGGTGATTTTTTTTCTTTTTTTGGACATTTTTCTCTTAGATTGGTGTTAAGTCTAAAATGGTCATATAAGTGCATGAAATGTATGTATGTGTTAGCATTTTCTTTTTCATAATTTGTAGAATGAATTTTGGCCCTGTAGGTCTGTTTTACTTTTCAGAATCAAACTTAATTTTTATATACAGTGATCTTTTAATATAAAGTTTTAACCGAATATGGACTACAACCAAATTTAATGTTTCTTATAAGTTCATTGTATCACTCAAATTTTTATTTTAATTTTTTAAATTATATTTTATTGATTATGGTACTTAGAGTTGTCCCAATTTTTCCTCCTTTGCTCCCTTCCGCCCAGCCCCATACCAGCTGCCTAGTGCAGTTCCCACACCGTTGCCCATGTCCATGGGTCATGCAAACATGTTCTTCGGCTACTCTATTCCCTATGCTGTACTTGACATCCCCATGACTATTCTGTAACAACCAATTTGTACTTCTTGATCCCTTCACCTTTTTAGTCCATCCCCCTAACCACCTTCCCAACTGGCTACCATCAAAACGATCTCTGTATCTGTGATTCTGTTTCTGCTCTGCTTGTTTATTTTACTTTGTGTTTTAGATTCAATTGTTGAGAGCAATGTATTTGTTGCCATTTTATAGCTCATTTTTAAAATCTTTTTCTTAAATCCCTTTAACATTTCATATAATAATGGTTTAGTAATGATGAACTCCTTTGACTTTTTCTTGTCTGGGAAACTTCTGCCCTATGGTTACAAATGATAGTTTTGCTGGGTAGAGTAATGTTGGCTGTAGGTCCCTGCTTTCGTCACTTTGAATGTTTCTTGCCAATCCCTTCTAGCCTGCAAAGTTTCTTTTGAGAACTCTGCATATAATCTATTGGGAACTCCCTTGTAGGTAAGTAACTACTTTTCTTTTGGTGCTTTTAAGATTCTCTCTTTGTTTTTAAACTTTGGCATCTTAATCATGCTGTGTTTTGGTGAGATTCTCTTTGTGTCCATCTTGTTTGGGACTCGGCACTTCCTAGACTTGGATGTCTGTCCTTCACCAAGTTAGGGACGTTTTTTATCATTACTTTTTCCAATAGGTTTCCTATTTCTTGCTGTCCCTCTTCAGCAACTCCACGATGAGAATGTTAGTACGCTTGAAGTTGTCCCAGAAGCTCCTTACACTGTCCTCATTTTTTTTTTATTCCTTTTTTCTTCTTGCTGTTCCGATTGGGTGTTTTTTGCTTCCTTATATTCCAAATTGCTGGATTGATTCTTGGCTTCATCCACTGTACTGTTGATTCCCTGTAAATTGCTCTTCATTTCAGTTAGTGTGCTCTTGATTTCTGACCGGTTCTGTTTTTATGGATTTCATTCCCTTTTCCATGCTGTTGAAGTTCTCTCTTATTTCATCTGCTGTTCCTCTAAGTTCCTTGAGGATTCTTATAACCAGCATTTTAAACTGTACCTAATAGCTTGTTGTTTCCATTTTGCTTAGTCTCCGTCAGAGTAGCTTTGCTTACTCTCCATTAGAATAGCTTGCTTATCTCCATTTTATTTAGTTTTGTCTTTGGAGTTTTGTTCTGTTCTTTCATTTGGGCCTTGCTTCCTTGTCTCTTCATTTTGGCAGCCTCCCCGTGTTTGTTTTTATATATTAGGTAGAGCTGCTATGACTCCCTAGCTTGGAAGAGTAGGGTCCAATGGCATAACCTCTGCTATTACCCAAGTTGGGTATGTGAGGTATGCCCACCATGTGGGCTGTGTACACCCTTCTCTTGTAGTTGAGCCTTGATTGCTGCTGGCAGGTCAGTGGGAGGGACTTAACCCAGCCTGATTAGCTTCAAGGACTGGCTATAACCACTGACCAGCAACTTCCAACCACTGTGGAGTTACAGCTGTGCAGGGGCCTACTCCAAAGAGCAGGACTTTTTGGTCCCTGCTAAGTCCTCCCCTTCCGTGTGTTGCTTGTGGAGGTGGTTGGGTGGTGGTATTCTGACGTGGTCTGTAGCTGTCCACCGGGTGTGAGGCTCTAGGGCTTCCCAGGAGGTGCAGGCCAATGTCAGTCACTGCCTTTGTTCTTTGCACGGCCACCTGGCTGCTGCTTTTGCTGGGCATGAGGTACCTCAACGAGGCCAAGCTGTGAACCAAGGCTGGCTGCTGCAGCAGTAGGTATAAGGCTTACTGAGACCAACTGCTGTTTGCTTGAGAGAATTTAGGAAAACCTGAAGCATGAGCCAAGACAAGCTATTCGCATGGGAAAGCCCCTGGAAACAGCTTGGGTAGGCCTGAAAGTTGGGTGGGGCAGAGCCTCGGGGGATCTCCAGGGCGGGACAGAGTGAGCTAAGTTAATAGAATCCCAGATATGGTGCCCACCTGCCAACTCTATGCAGGGCAGTTCAGAAAAGGAACCATGGCCTCTGCCAGCATTTCTGTCAGGGAGAAAGCTGCCCCCCAGCTCTTCTGATGCCACAATTCAGTTCCTCCCTCTAATTTTCTGCAGCCTTTCAATCTGCTGTCCCAGCACTAGAGCTCAGAGGGAATGAGACTAAGTCTGTGCACAGGCCCTTTAAGAGGAACTGCCTTGGAATCCAGCAGTTTCTGCCTTCCACAGCCTCAACCTCTACTGGTTTTTACATCCAGAAGTTATGGAGACTTGTCTTCCGGGCTTGAAATGTGGGCTGGGAGGCCTGTTGTGGGGCTGGGACCCTTGATTCCCGGGTTTTCCTTGCCATATGTGGGTGAGGGACAAGCCTGTTCTGTGTCTCTAACCTTCCTACCAGTCTAGATGTGGTTTCTTCTTTAATTCCATAGGACTTCCATTCAGCTTGATTTCTGACATTTCTGAATGATAGTTGTTATTCAGTTTAGTTGCAATTTTGATGTGGTTTTGTGAGGAGGTGAGCCTTGGTTACCATCATATTAGTTTTCTCTCACATTCCAAATTTTTAAAAGATAGTTTTTATTACATCTTGGGGATAATCAGGTACTTGTGATCGTCATTTTTTACTTACAGTTTTTTTCTAGTTTTGGGTTTTTTTTAAGCTATTACTAGGCTTTCATTCAGTAACTTTCACTTACAATGAGTTTTATTCAGCAAATGAAAGTAGTTTTGGTATGAGCCTCCATAGATTAGATGTATATCAACCAGTTAGATACATCATTACAAATTTAAAGCTCAGTAGTATGATTCCTGGAGTTATTGCCTGCCTTTAGGAAATTAGAGAACTGGCCAGAGACATTCTAGAAGAAACAGGTGTATAATCTCTCTTCACGAACGTTCAGTCATCGTGGAGGAGAGAGAATAAAGACAGTTTAAATAGGACTTCTGCTGTCTTTTTCTACTTGCCTCTTCTTTTTGCTTTAGGGCTATAGTCAAGTGCTAATAGAATTCAGTTGTTTCAAGTCACTTCCTCTTGAAATTCCTTGGTCTGAAAGGTACAGCTCTCTTCAGTTCATTGGGGCCTGCTGGTGCCATAGTAGGGAAAAGCTGCATTTGCATGTGTAATTTAAGCCAGCCCACTGAACATCTGCAGCTAAGTCCACAGGATCAGCGACCAAGACTGGCAGCTTGTCCCAGCAGCAGCCTTCCACTTCCTTCCCAGAGTTTGGCAGGATGCAGTTGGTGAGTAGCTGTCATTGTATTTTGATTCAGTCAGGAAAGGTTGTAGGCATGGAGTGTTCAAAATGCTACAGAAATGAAGCCATTTCTGCCTGAGCTGATCAGAGCTTTATCATACTGGGTAGGTGGGGGGGGGGGTGTTGAAAGGATGTCAGGTGGGCCACAGGAAGGCAAAGGGACTGTTGCCAGGAAACGAAGAACAGCCTTCATGGGAGTCAGGAAAGGGCACGGCTGGGGAACGGACACAGTTTTACAGTGATGCTCAGCAGAGCTGAGGTTGAGTGAAATGGTGAAAGGCTGCCAATGACAGGTTGTAAGAAGATGAGTGTACAGGGTGGGGCAAAAGTAGCTTTACAGTTGTTCTTTTGGAAAATAGTGCAATAACTGATGATAATATAAGAATAAACTTTCACGTACTCACAGCTGTAAACCTACTTTTGACCCACCCTGTATTTTCAGCGGTAAACTACTGAAGGTTTTCGTATAAGATGAATAAAAATTAAAGCAATGCTTTTAGACAGTATGTTGATACCAAGTAGTTTCAGATCACAGCTTTTCTTTTTTTTAAAAATTTTGCCCGCAAATTGACCATGATAGATCTCATCATTAAGTTTGGTAAAACTTTGCTTTTAAATCTTCCATAAAGGTCCAGAAACTGACTTGTCATATACCTCAGAAGAGGTATATGACTTGTCATATACCTTCATATTTAATAAGGGAGTAAAAATTACGTAGTTTAAAGCTATCATCAGGAAATACTAGGTCAACATACATAATTTTATGTAAAGACTTATTAATGAGAAATTCTTTGTAATATATACTTGGAAAGGAATGAAAACATGACCAGAAATCACTTTGTACCTTGGGATGATGTTAGAAAATTTATTTTAAATACTTGAAAAGCTTATTTTAGTTTCCATGCTGAGTTCAATTACTTGTAGATACATATTGTAAAGAATATAAACATTACAATGTTTCTCTGGAATTCCCATGGAGCAATTCCTGGAAAATGTCTATTTTAGGTAAAGTTTTTAATCTGTAGTATCCATGATACCAGATATATAAAATCACCACAATTTATTTAAAAATACAGTATTTGGGCCCAGCCTGTAGCTCAGTTGGCTAGAGCATGTCCCCATACACCAAGGTTTTTAATTCAATCCCTGGTGAGGGCACATACAAGAAGCAGCCAATCAATGCATAAATAAGTGAAATAACAAGTCTGGATCGCTCTCTCCCCATCCCCTCTCTTAAAATTAAAATTCAAAAATACAGTATTTGTATTTTAAATGTGATTCCTGTGTTAACTATGTCTGTGTATCCATCCGCCTTTCAGAACTCTGGAGTCAAAGCTATATTAAAGGTACTTGGCTTAGATTAATACGGCTTAATAACTAGTGTTTTAATTAATATTTGCTTAGTTTACACGAAGACTTGGAGTATGATGTAGAATGGTATACTGAAATGTTCTCTCCTCCAAACTGTCTTTAAACAGTAAAGTGTG